CTTTTCCATTATTGTCATTCAGGATAAACGAATTCTGATGGTGATCTTATTCTGATGGTGATCTTATTCAATAACTGCACGACATGAAGTAGTTTGTTTATACAGATGATACTCGTATATGTTTCCTTATACAGCATGATACTCGATATAAATTTCAAAATTATTTTGTTTCATTTGAATAGAAAGGAAGTTCAGGAATATTATTGATACTGAGAGATGAACTTGTTAAGTTGCGATAAAAAAAGTTATGTTTGAAACATTAATTTAAAAGAAAATCCACCCATTGTATTATAGATAGATCAGCACTTTCCTCTCCCCTTTACAATGACTATATAATAATAAGCAACCCTAACTATTTAAGACTGGGAGATGGGACTTAAAATGTTTAGATTTGGTGCATTACAATCTAACATAAGGGGCTACTATACCAAATTATTCCAAATTATCTTGACAATAAAAAAGAGAAAACAAAGATGTTCCTTACCCAAATAATTTCTGACTGATCAAATAGACGACAGATTAAGGATCATTGTTAAGTTGGGAAGGACTGGGCAATTTGCAGCCAAAATTTAAAAAAAAAAAAAAATGAAATGGTATGGAACATATCACGTCTTAATTCATCAGAAAGATGAAATTTCGGTTTTTAACACTTTAGAAAAGCAAAATTGCTCATTATTTTTAAAGTGCATTTTTCAGAGCAACACACATTCCCTTTTACCTCTCCAGATTTGGGGGGGGGGGGGGTGGAAATACGCGTTTTCAATCCTAAAATAAAAGGTAAACAAAACTTAAACGTTCGCAAAGAAAAAAATCAGAGTGTCTAACTTTTGGGCATCTCTCTATAATTTTAAACGTTATTTGTGTGTTTTAACATATTCATAACTGTAAAAAAAGAAAGAAATATGAAAATAACGAAAAGTATTCAATCTCGAAAGTCTAATGAAACAATACAAATTTGGAGCAGAGCAAACACGGACCTCTAAAACATCAGAGGTGGGATCAGGTGCCATGGAGAAGTGAGTATCACCTGGCGACCGGTCATACCCTCCGTGTGCTCATTGTCATGATCGGAAAAAAAACCCGGAAAAATCCGTAGACAGTTCAGTGTATAAATAATGACCTAGCAATTAGTATGAAAAACGTCAGTCAGCATTTGACTCAGTGATAGGCTGTATGTGCTGACAAGGTCATTGTATCGACCGTAACACTTGCGAAAAGATGACTTCAAACGAGACTGTTGATATCCTTGTTTCATCAGCTTGTTTGTCAATAGCTTGCCTCGTTTTAAAAATTGTTCATACGTAGAGCATGCTCTTGCGTATCGAATCAACTGAGAGACATAAACCCCATATGCAGGTGATAAGGGTATATTTCTATATAAGTAAGGGAAGTTGACGATTGAAAAGTGGAAGTCATCACGTTTATCATAGAGCTTTGTTGTTATGATACCATTAACGTCTTTTTCTAGTAAAATATCTAAATATGAAACAGATGTGCCAAAATCTGTGGTATCTTTTATTTCAAGCATAGTGGGATATATCGAGTCGACATATGAATGAAAGTAACTATTGTTTATTGATAATACGTTGTCTATATATCGAAATGTCGAGTTGAAATCCACAGCAAGTGTTTTCTTCTTCTCATGTAGAAGTTTTAGAATAAATTCTGCTTCATATGAATACAAAAATAGATCTGCTAATAAGGGGGCGCAATTGGTACCCATGGGAATTCCAACAGATTGTTGGAAGACCTGATCTCCAAAGATTCCCATTTATTCTATTTTTCTTCTAAGGACAGACTCCTCCATATGAAAAAAAAGCTGCCCTGCTTATAGAACTCTTTAGTGTGCAGTGCTTAGTGCTTAATTAATTTTATGTACTGATTTATTAAGATTTAAAAACTTTAGTTCATTTGCATCGAGAGAAAAAGCAATTCTTACAACCCACTGAAACTTAAATATAATTGCATTTTAACTTAACCCTATTATCTTATAAGTGTTTATTTGTTTGAAGTGTTACTTTGTTATCGTAATTATTGGGATATTACAATTTGACAAGGTATTTCAATGTAAATTTCAATGTAAATGTAACATTTACCAATGTACGTAACTTTGTTCATGTAAAGTCTGTCCAGTTGTGGTCAGCCGACCAAATCATAGACATTTAACTTATAAATGATTCGTACATATGATTCCTGCAGATCACCCGCCAAAACACCCATTTTCTTTAATAACTTTTTCATGTTTTGTTTGTATACATTATATGTAGATTATTTCCTACGTGTTCTACATTGTACATGATTAAATATAAGGCTTAAACACCATAAAATATGCTCTAAAATCCGAAGTATGGTGATGGGTTAATAATTTTTTTTTAAAAATATTTGTTAATGTTGGATTTGTTATTTCGGAATGTTCCATTACATTTATATTTCACAAAGGCAAAGTTATTATCAAAGCAAATCTGGAGAATCTTAAGGCAATTTTACTGCTCATCATCCATAAAATTGAGTGTACTTGCATTATTGTATGAAGAAGAGGTATCGCAGGTCGACACTCTTCAGAACGGGTAATGTTGTGTTTGTGTAAGATAATTAAATACTAAACACACTTTCTGTTCCCAGGATACAGCCCAAAAACCTTTGACAACTGTATTATCAATAAGATAGTAGTCTCTGTTTTCATATGCACCATTCTAATAAACACACACACACAATCATGACTAAAATAAATAAAAGTGTTTTAATACATAAACATGTATGATCATTTGACATTTATTAATTAACTACATACAATCTTTTTTTTACAATCAATTGTCTAGCGTAAGAGAAAATGAAAGTTTCACCACAAAGAAATTCAGAATTTTTACCATCTTTAACTATTTTTTTTTTGTTTTTGTTTTCGTTTTTGTTTTGTTTTTTTTTGTTTTTTTGTTTGCCATATACAATTATTTTTGAACAAGTAATCAGAGGGATACAAAAATAATTGGAAAAAAACATGTACTAACGCACATGAATTAAAAAATATGACATCTGCACAGCTCTCTTTTCACAGTTTGCAAATTAATCTGATTTCTACTAATATTACAAAAGAATTCTAGCTTAAGGTCAGACGACAGGTTCCTCGGTAATATATGATTTTCCCCAAAAACTTGTCTTTGAAATATTGCTACTTGAGGTACTTTACCAGGTCTGGACGATTTCCAAATATGGAAGTCAAGAAACGATAACTGAAAGTTGCTATAAATATACATCATATACACGTAAATATTTCTCTGCCCAATCAGACAATAGCATTTTTACACACCCTAAAATATATTTCAAAGGAACAAAAAGAGAAGACGTGCTTTGGTTTTTTTCCCCAAAAAGATTTTTTTGACAAAAAAATCTTTAGAAGTAAGATGAAAAGTTTGGAAGAATAAGGTATTCCCCACATATTTACCGTGAACAAACCTGACATTTTCATCTCGGGAAAAAAAATTAATGCTTGTAACTATGCGATCGTTTACGGAGGAATAGATCACACCGACAAGCTATTATCAAGTACAATTATAACATTTAGCAGAACATACTCTTGTGTTGGTAAATATATTCATCGTATAGACTACATGTACATGTTGTTTTAAAATAACACGGGTTTCAAGAGCGCCGAATACCATGTTATTACACTTTAAATGGACACAAAAGGTGGAAAACATGGAGAAAAGGGAATGTTCATGAATGCTTTTTATCACCATATCTTACATGTACCTCGCATATCTGAAACTGCATGGACGATTTTGTAATAAACACTCAGGAAATAATTAAGACTGTTACATTCCCATACGAAAACTTTATCATGTCAGGCTCTAAAAACTGAAAATCTGCCGTATTTATATCAAATTTCTTCTCACAAGTTAAACTTTTGGGATTGCTACCTTGTAGTGACAGATTTTTAATCCAACTTAGAATTTATATTAAGCTTTCAAGTCGTGTTTGTTCACGGTAGAATGTCAAATATACTATATTATTCCTTAATGTGCATAAAGTTTACAAAAAGGTTGTTCTAAAAAAAAATCTTTGGAGCAAAAAACTTTAAAACCAGGTGTTTTATTTATTTTCTCATGGGTTTGTCTAAATGCCGTTATCTGATTGCTCAGAAGGATTAGCGCCTTATTTATCTGTGTATTTATAATAGCCATTCACGGTTATCGTTCTTGACTTCCATATTTGGAAATCATCCAGACCTGTTTACCAGACATTTGTGCAAGATACCAGAGCGTGGTGTTTCCGATATAATCCTTTTGGTAATCTTTTGAATTGCTAATATTACAATTTTTGATGTACTTGTTTTTTAAGACATGTTGAAAGCAATTTAGAAATTACCAGAGAATGATAATTATGAATATTTTTTATATATATTACGATGAGCTATAAAACAGATATTTGAGGAACGCGTCGTCAGACCTTAATGAAAATTATCAATAAACATGTATTAAGTTTTCAATAGATCTATCAGTTTGGCATAATTCAAAACAGTCTTGAAAACAGTGTTTAAGATGTTATAAAAACCTGACTCTCACGTTTGAAAAGCTAGAAAGTAAATTATCATTACGAATATTTTTAGAAAGTAAAGTAAAAGTGAATTTTAGGGTCACTTGGTCAGTAGTCGTTATGCTAAGTAAAACACAAGACTTAAAGATCCCCATCTCTTTTCTTAAGTACCGGGTAAATGTAAAAGCCGTGAACGATATTCCAAAGTGATCCTTAAGTGTAAGTCTATTTTGTAGACCACACAGAACTCTGTCTCTCAGCAGTTACCAAAACATTGAAGATTCATCACATATGAATATGAATTGTTAATAAATCTATGATGGGCTATAAATTTTTAAATGTGAAAGAAAAATAGCAGAAAAGGTGAATCTTGTCATTGACAAATTAATTCTTCTTCCCAAAAGAAATACGTGGATTTTGTCATGATATTATGAACTAAATTAATTTATCAAGAAAGTTATTTAACTCACCTGTAGATTCTGTCACTTTGAATAGAGACAATACCATAAGAACACAACACTTCCCAGACATGATCCAATTTCCTACACCTTTTTACTCTTCTGCCTGTTTACCTTGAAATGCCTGTCTGACTATAGCTATTAGCTTAATAAGTATCAATTCCTGGTTTACATTGAAATGCTTGTCTGACTATAGCTACTCGCTTAATCAATTCCTGCCAATTCGGGGTCATCCAACCAAGCAGGTGAAGTTGTCAAGGTCTTCTTTTCATATCTCTTCACAATGTTGATATTATTTTGATCTATTTTTTTTTTTATTTTGTGTCATTTTTGTTCCCTAACTTTCAAATTTTTGAATACACTTAACATCATCATACATACAGAGTGACAATCATGTGATGTTGAAATGACCCTATTTTGCAAATCGATTAATTATTTGGAGGCGATCAATCAGAAGGTATTCGAATTTCCTCTAAGATTGGTAAACCACATTAGAAAATTAGGTGAAATAAGGATTATCTATTTAATTCAATCTTTTTTCTCAGTTAAAATTTGTTTCTAATTAAATAGACAATTTTCTTTAAAGAAAAAAAAAAGAATGTTGGGCGTGAACTTCGTGGTTTTGTGTCCAGATCTGATGACCACCATGACGTATGGAAATCTGAATCTCAAATTCCTATCGTTTGCTTCCACACAGACACTATAGCTAGGCATAGATGAGTTCTGTTTAACGTCTCAGCCATCCAAATATGTTGAAAATAAATAACATCACAAATATTTTTCTCTACACATGGACATATAGCAGGCAAATAGTTTCTATGATACAATAAACACGTAGTCTTCTATCAAATTGTGAAATTCATGGATATAGGCAAATGTTTCAGGCCCCAGGATGGGGCTTAATTGCAATATATTCTAAAATACATTATAATTTTGAATATTTCTTTCATATACATGTAGCAGGCAAACTATTAGCTCAATTTCAATGAGTAACTAACCCTTTACCGAAATTGTAAAATTCATGGTTCCTGAATCCAGCGTTCAGACCCCGCTGACTTTGCTAAGTTGGTCAAATTTTTAAAAAAAATACATTAAACCTTTGAAAGTCTTTTGTCAATCTGACTGATTCGTGGGAAAATATATTCTTAAGTAGGTTAAAGTTCAAAAGACATGATAAATTGAAATATTGCCAAGGTTTTGTTGGAGATGTAAATTCGTGGGCAAGGGTGACCCAAAAATTGGTCCACCAGGAATTCCACTAGAAATGTGTCATTATTTGGAATCCAGAAATATTTATGTAATGCTTAATAATATAGAAACGTGCAATACATGAAAGCAGTATTGTGTAACATTTTTGCAGTGTATTTTTAACAAATGTTAAATGCATATTTTTTTGTATTTAAAAAAGGCGAAATTACTTCGATAATTGATAAATTTTCCTTTCTTTATGGTTGATGTGTTCAACTCTCAAGAGTACATTCTGTATTATGATTTAATTTATAACTTATACAGAATTATCGCTCGGTTTCTTGTGAGATGAACTATACGTACATTGTATTTAAAAAAATCCTTGTGTGGTGAAGCATGTGAGTCCAAGTACTAGTTCCTGGGGACAGACTTGGGTTGCAATGGGCATATTATATGCAATTATCTTTATGTTAAGTACTAGGTTAAAATATTTTCAACTCATGGACCGGAAGTAAGGTAGGGGTACGACAGAATTTAACACAAGATTATGGATGAAAATTCTCTTTTTTCTCTCTCAGAAATAACAAGGCTGCAATCTCTTATATCGATACGTAAGCATCCCCATGTAGTGTAGCTGATGAATGTCATTACTTCAGATTCAAAAAAGGAGCAGCAATGGGTTTTACTTTCGAAATAAGCAATTAATTTGAAAATCCTCCAGAAATTTACAAATAAAATTGAGAATTCATAGAAAGCATTCTAGCCTAGTGAGGAATACATTTGATTCAATTCAAGTCCCCTGGTTCTAGGATATATCTGTATGTTGGCTTCCACTTTTTACGTAAGAATTTAAATATAAAGTAAAATTCTCATATTCCACAAAATCAGAGATCCATGATAAAGAGGGTTCAAGATCTAGGTACATGTATATAAAGGATTTTTTGCGAATCATCAGTCAATAATTTTCTAACTGGTCTTCAACATGAATATTAAAGACAGATGATACCGACAAAAATGGATGCCCGGATTGTTATATATTTTTGGACCCATTTTAGTTGTAAATGATACAAATATTAATTTTCTAAAATATTTATAAATTTTAAATTTTCTATAATGTTCAAAATTCTACTCTGTAATTATCCTTATTAATCTATGCACCTGTATATCACTTTAATTCGCATTATTGTGAAATTTGAATGAAAATTATAATCTATACAGTTAAACTTATTCATTTACTTATATATGTATGACTTTAGTTGTTATTTTCAAGATTTTTGATGAAAGTTTGTTTGCATCGTCTGTCAATGGCCCTGAGTGCCGAGTAAAGGTCAAAATTTGAAGCCCTTCATCGGTATATGGTGACGTCTCTATATGAGTGGAAAATTCTCGAATGGGACGTAAAGCAACATACAATCAATCAATCAATCCTTAAAGTTGTTTGAAATAAGATCTATGGGTTAGTTTTGGGAATCAAGAGCTGAGTTTATTCAGCTCTCTTATAAATTCGTAGTAAACACAGTTGAGCATTGTTTACTTTTTCTGACATTTCAACTAACAATCTCAATATCATTTTGTTCGAGCAGGCGTGGTTATTCGAAATTTTGATTGATAAGAACGGTTCAAATGAGTAGGGGTAGAAACATGTGTATAAAATCTTTTATTTTTATTTTGATTTTTTGTTTTATAGGTTGAATACAGTTTTTTATGTTACAAAAGAAATATCCCTATAATCAGACCGTTCACGATAGGTCAGTCGGTAGAGCGCTCGCTTCGTGATCGGGAGGTCGTGATTTCGAATCTCGGCCGCGATTGACCTAAGTCGATAAAAAATGGGTAGCAACTCTTCCTTCGCCATGCGCAAGGCACTTTGAAGTGAAAGTTGCGGGTCCTTCGGATGAGACCTTAAAAACCGAGCCCCGTGTCACGACAGGCTTTGGCACGATAAAGATCCCTCACTGCTCAATGGCCCTGAGTGCCGAGTAAAGGTCAAAATTTGAAGCCCTTCACCGGTATATGGTGGCGTCTCTATATGAGTGAAAAATTTTCGAATGGGACGTAAAACAACATACAATCAATCAATCAATCCCTATAATTAGGCTCAGTGGTTAGTTATATGCCATAACCGAAAATATAAAAATTGTCTGAAGGCCATTCAAAGGTTACTTCGCCAGGTCAAGTCGTCCTGCGGGTCCAATACATTGTATGTATGATTTGTATCTAAAGCCAGTAAAGGGCAGAAAAAAAATTCAATAATATCTAAATCAACTAAAAAATTTTCTCAAAAGGATTTTATCGATAACTAAATTATTTGATATGATACTATCAATTTGTCTATTTTTTTTCATTATCATTCCACATGTATTTCATTGCAATATGGTAAAACCGTACAACATAGGATTTCCACTCTGATTTCCCATCATATGCTGACAATTTGGGAGTTGCAAGACTGCATCGTGTTTTTGTGCTACTTCTCTTATCTTCTGTTTTTTCACTGTTATGATAAACATTTTGAGGAGCCAACCTATTTATGTGTGAAATGTATTCTAAATGTTCTCTCTCTGCTTTCACTCGTCTTAAATCTCTCTCCCTCTTTTGTCTTCTTTTGTCATTTGTCTTAAATCTCTATCCCTCTTTTCAATTTCTTTCTCTTTAAGATCTACTTCGCTCTTTCTTATTCTGAATTGTTCCACTTTTTCTATTCATTCTTTTTAATATAATCTTTGTACCCCCACTCTCTCTCTCTGATCTACAAATATTTGCATTTGTTCGTCTCTCTTTCTCTAGTAGAATTTTTTTCAGTCATTTCTTCCTCTTTAATTTCAAACTTTTTCTGCATCTCTTCAAACATTCTCTGCTTTCTCTCGACTAGCACTCATGCTCTTGTGTAATAGAGTTAGTTTTTTCTTTCTTGTTCAGCCACATATCTTTCTCCCTTCCACAAAAGTTTGTCTTTCTCCTTAATTTCATCCTTTCTATCTCTAATCTGAATCTCTCTTTCTCTTATCTTTCCTTTACTGATAACTCTCTCTCTAAATCTTGGATTTTTAAAAAACTATTCATTTTAGCGATCTTCTGAGGTTTCTGTTGCTTGAATGTCTGATGTGTTTGTTCTGGATTATCAGAGTGTCTTAGAATGGAAGGCAAAATTATTAATCCATCTTCTACCAGGGATCCAAGATTGTACTTGGGGTATTGGGAATTAATTTTAGAACTTCTAAGATTACCTCTCCCTTTTATCTCTGATCTCTAATATTGCTTTAGCCCTTTTGCCTCTAATATTTCTGATGGTTTTTAAGGATTCAAGTGAAGCCTCATTGATATTAATAGGAGTAGTCATGATCTAGATTTTATCGCTCCTATACTTATATACACCCGTTTTTATGATCCCTACTTGGTGTTATTTTACTAAATCATCAGAAAATCCGACGATTTAGATATGTTGTTTTGCTTTGAAAAACATGTAGGTTTATACTAGGAAGAAGAAATGGAAAAAAAATGAAAAACATAAAAATTAAAAAAGAAAAATAGAAGGGAAAAATACAAAATTACGAAAGCCGGATAGGCTCATTTTTGACAAGATAAAAAAAATAATTAACTCGTTATAACGAGATAGTTATCTCGTTATAACGAGTTAGTATCTCGTTATAACGAGTTAGTTATCTCGTTATAACGAGTTAGTTATCTCGTTATAACGAGTTAGTATCTCGTTATAACGAGTTAGTTATCTCGTTATAACGAGTTAGTTATCTCGTTATAACGAGTTAGTATCTCGTTATAACGAGATAATTATCGCGTAATAACGAGTTAGTATCTCGTTATAACGAGTTAGTTATCTCGCTATAACGAGTTAGTTATCTCGTTATAACGAGATAATTATCTCGTTAT